TAATAAAAATTACGTGTATTAGACAATTTTCACAGTTTCATTCAACATTTTGCTAAAACGTGCTTCTCATTATCTAAGCTGGCCGTAGCTCTCTTATCATACAACGCAAATACTATTATCACACACAAACAAATACATGTATGTATATTGTTGTATCAGCCTTCTGCACATTTTGTTTATGTAGACCACCCGTGGGTAGTGCCTTTAATTCGTTAAAGACACGAGTCGCTTATCAGTATTATTTTATTTGTATTATCTTATTCATATTAAATTATAGAATTACTTTTAAAACTCAATTTGCACTACATAGGTGTACTTTTAATTTATACGTAGGTAATACTGGCGATACCCTGCGGCTATATTAATATAATACTGTTCAGCGGCTTTACGTAACCAATACAATAGATATATGCACATACATACATATTATTGTCAGCGTGAATTATCTGCATGAATGTATTAGGCTTGCCTTACAATATTAATATATGTATACCACACCGTAAGTATAACTCTATGCGTACAATTTCCCAGTGCTATTCATCTCATACAATGCTATATTTACCAAAACGTAAAAGATTTTCTCTGAAATGTTTTGTAAATGTGGTTACATTCAGAAATATATCTACAAAGGTCCTTTGATTTTGTACATTTAATATATTACTTTCATATCAATCTGCAAAGGTTTCTTGTACTTTCCCAGAGTCTTCATTGATTTTCTAGAGGCTTTTGCTCCATGGTTTCAGGCTACGCCCTGTCTCATACAATGTAATTTTCTTTTGCATAATGGTACGACACTTGACGCTTGCCAAAGGCCTGCACGTGTAGATAAAACAAAAGAGGAGTAAAACAAAGAACGTTTTTAAGTAACTGTGTATAAAATTTGGGTAGGTATGTGTATGTATAAAAGGCATTAAGCTGACTTACGAACGAGAACACTTATACCAAAGGGCGACTCTGGCCCTAACTCCCTACAAGGCCGTCCGTCGCCACTCGTATCCACATCATTTGGAATTATTCCAAGCTTTTTCCAATAACTAGTTTTTTACACTGTTGTACGCTGGCAAAAAATTTGATCTACATTTTTTCAAGTTCTTGTGATGACACGGGTACTTTATCGCAGTTGTGTTGGTATGGACACTATGACTTATATTTCCTAATGGGGTATGAAGAGATTTGCGAATTCTTCATCATTTACATTGTTATTTTACTACTAACTATGACTATGTGTTTGGTATCAAATACAAACCACAATGCAAGTCACTGTTGTACTATTACTGTACTTAATGTCAAAATTCATGAATACAATCTTTCTGACCTGGGATTTAATTTTAAAACCTCTCTTGAAATTGGTTTTGCGTTTACTCACCTATAACAGCAGTAATTTACAAAATAATATGTTGGAAAAAATAACTTATTAAAAGAATATAACAGTAAAAAGTAACGTTAATTAATATAGTTTTTGGATCCCAAACATTTAAATTACCTTTTTTTTTTGTTTTAAAAGAGATGAGCAAAAAAGATGTAGGGACCTAATAGAAGTAGCACAATTTTTCAGCAAAATATCTCCTTGGCTATTGTGTGAGTAGAATTACTTTTCGTATTCATATTCAGCAGTGCAATGGGATTATACAGCTAGTGATATTTATTGCTGTTCTACTTATATTTAGGAATGGGGTCTTAGTACCTACATCACTCTTGTTTACGAGCTCTTTGGCTTCACTTCTGTATCTGCGCCTAAATAAATATCCTATTTTTCATCTTTGCTTAGATGTATCTATCAGGTAGCTGTTATCTAAATTAAAATAAAAAAACGAGATAAGTTTTTTTCTGTTTTTTTCTAATTCATTCACCAAAACTAATGGATCGATATTTTCTATTTGTAAAAATCAAGAGCACATAATCTGAAACTTATTCATTTTAATGTGAATCATGGACTCAAGCCGCTTACAGAGAGTTTGTTCGTGACCCATTATCGGAGATCCCAGACGGCTTTCAGCCATCTTAAATTTCAATGTGGAGACGCAAATACCAGCCATTCTATATTTAGGTATTCTAAGTAATGTATATCAGAAGTTATTACGTTATATACCCAATAGCAGTAGGTTTATATAAAGGGACAATATTATACCTTTGTATTTCCATTCGAATATTAATTTTAAAATGTGGATGTCAAAGCATTTATTGTCTAGAGCAGCAATATAGATATTGAAACATAATTATGGCAAATTAGTACCTACTATTAAATAAAATTTCGATATCTTTCAATAGTAAATAGTAATGTATTACTTTGTTTAAAGTTGCTTTGAACGTGATGATCACAAGCAGGTCTATTGTACCAATCATAAATTACATTATTGATTTGGATATGAACTTAGTGTTAAGGTCGATATCCTAGATACCTAAACACAAATACATACACCCACTCATTACATTCTGCGGTAGACCCGAGTATATTAGGGACTGGCAGTAAATTTCCGATTAAACGCTCCTCGACCATTACCGACTGGCCTCTCTTTATTGAGTTGGATAAAATCAACTGGTAACGCTTAGCTGATGCTCAAACGGTCTTAAATTTTTGGGAAAAACTACTGTTTTTTTTTTTCAAAAATATATTGGACTACATAAACCTACACCTACTCGATTACCTATAAAAATAATAGTCCTTCGCGTCATTGTTTAACTTTTTAAAAATATAGGTTGATATGTATCTATCTGAATTGAATTGAATTGAATTGAATTATATAGATATAGGGCTGATGCCGATACGGAGTTGCGGAGAACCTAATGGGTTACCGGGGGTTCGAAGTCCAGTAATAGGAACGAGGTGGTTTTTAGTCAGTAAGAGTCTGACACTCCCTCCCGCCTCACCCAGGCGGGAGCAGTCATTCGATGATTTTCCCCCCTTAAAAAAATCGATATATAGATATAGAAGATACCTACATATTGTATTATCAAACATCAGTTACAATTATAAACTACGGACTATTAATAAACAAGTTTACTTTCATTACTCAAAAAATAGCTTAAAATGTGTTTTCTGTAGCCGTTATATGGATTTTTAATACAAGGCTGTTGTTCGTTGATTAATAAAGCGTAGGCGGTTTGGTTATGTTCGCAAATCTACTGACGTCATGATCACGTCGATTCTAAAAACCCATTCATAAAGTGTGTAGTTGATTCCATAAAAGATAAGAGAAATGTAAGGTTAAGGAACAACTTAGAATGTTTTTATTATCTATCTTTATTGGACCTAATAAATTAATTAAGCGCCGGTTTCACCACCTCTATGTAAGTACTTGATAAACTTATGAATGACAGATAGTTCATACAAATTACGTTCTTAATTCAAATTTATCACGTAGATAACGGCTATCCATATATTGTGAAACAGGCCCTTAGTGTGATAATTATACCTCTATTATTATATGAATATTAAGTAATTAATTCATTAGACTTAATACACGTTAAGTGTTTCTTCTTTTACATTGCGAATACAAATAATTACTTTAGAATTTCCTACAAAAATAATTGTTGCGTGTAAAAATTGAATTCAATATCCGTAGAGCAGTCGTCAATCGCCCACACAACCTGAACTGTCAAAACTTCCTAATTTCGTCGACATTTACCTTGTACCTTGTCAGGGGTCAACCTCGTCAAGGATGAATTAGGTCCTTTACGTTAGTTATTGGCAGATTTCATATTGCGAGTATTTCATGATATATAAAATTAAATGATATACCCGTACGTACCTACGTCAAGTTCCAGCATCCCTCTCGTACACTAATATACTCTAAATTGGGGCGTAGCAACGAACAGATCTTTATCATTATAGGTATAGCAAGAGACGTCTACCACTAATGTTTTATTTATACAGAGAGAAAAGGTAGGAAAACAACTTTCTTGAATTACCCGTTGTTTCTTAGTGTCAAGTTATAACTAACGATATATTAATTGTGAAGTGAACCGACGTCTTCCTAAGGTTACAGGCGATTGTGTGGGCGCGGCGGCGTCTCGGCGAGTCCTATGATTTACAGCAGTATTTCTAATTTTAAAACTCTATTATAGACCCCCGAGTATATTAAAACGGTTGACAACCAGCACGACCTTTTAAGCCGAGAGAATCTACCTTAATTGGACCCAGGAACGTGTAACATTCTAACTGTAATTTAAATTAAGACACCTTTCCCTTGGTAGGTACTCTTTTCTACTAAGTAAGCTCCGTTTAATTTTCAAATAACAGCACTATTACGATGACAAGGCTTGCCTTCTAAATAGTCTCTAATAACCCGAAATTTTCCAATGAAGACAATTATATATTACATATATTATTAAGAATTAATCAGAGGTTTATGTTGTCAGTAGCTCGCACCTTTCAGAGTTTAACCAATTAATTGTTATTTGTGTTGTGTCATCTGCAGTACCTAATATAAGGCAGCCTCATTCATGTTCCGATGACTTTTACTACCGCATGATTGTAGAGCGGTAAGCGGCGAATTTCGGGATTTCTACGCAACATATTATTACGTAAACAATCGATAGTTTATGTTTGCAAGACCTGAAGATAAATATTTTCAAGATACTTTTTTCAGCTGTTTTACTTCAAATCTGACTTTTACGTTTTGAACTAATCCTTGGCCTACACCTACTTTAACCAAAGCAGGGCTACAAGTATTTACATTATTTTAATTACTGAGTTACAACTATTGATTTACTATTATGCCATTTCATACTTCCGTTTGGAAATACTGAGGGAAAATAGCGCAAACTCCTCAGTATCAATAAATTCTATGAAGGATAACTGAGTTTTACGTGACTTTCGATAAATTTTACCACCGATACGGCTTCGACGTACATTGAACCATTAACATTTTAAGCTTGGCCGTCAATGTACGCAACTAGTGACGTAAACATCGGGACTTGGCCAGGAACTGAACGTAGAGGCATCGCATCGCGCAGCGGCAATCGATCGCATGCGCGCGCAACTCCGCCATCCTGGCTTCAGTACCGAGTGGTGGTTCCAGTCGAATACAATATTCGACAGAAATGTACCAAACCCGTGCTAAGTGACTACAGAAATAATAACTGTTAGATAAAGTGTTCGACGACTCGATAGGGGATCAAATATAAGGTCAGTGTTGTGTGCTTCTTCTGATGAAAATCGCCATCGAAGCTATACCGAATACTTACTGTAATTATTATTTCAGAAATACGTTGTTTCTGGTTATTCTAAGTAGATATTTAAAATGGCCTTATTATTTTAAACGCCCTTTTTAGAATGATAATTCTTATAAACGGAGTTTTAAAATTGTAATTGAATACATTCATACATATATCAATGCGTTAATACATAACCATAAATAGCTACGTATAGATCTCAGCATATAAAAGCCTACTCTCCGCGCTTGACAGTTCACATGTCTTCAGACCTTGTGTAGAGTGTACCACAAGGTCCCACATTCGCCTATTCAAGGAAATCTCTAACATAGACCTTATTTATTTTACTTTAAGTGGAATGACATTATATATAAGACAATTTAGACATATTTTCTAGAGACTTTTTCAAAGCTTATCTTATTCAGCAGGGTAGTATAAAGCCTAGAAAGACTTTCAGGGACAAAGACAAACAACAAAAACGACCTTACAAAGTTTTTAAATTGCTACCTGAAACGGGTTTAAACGGCACGGGATGGCATAAATTAAGGTTCATAGTATAAGGTTGCAGCAACGAATTAAAATTTAAAGACGATATTAAAACTTTGCGTAGTTTAACTAAATATAAACTTATACACTAACTGAACAATAGAACTAATGTGTAAATTATTCTGATCTAGAATCCGAGGTAACTGTATAAGTGAGGCACATTAAACGATTACATTTATCATCCGAGTAGACATGTAGAGATCAATATCAGTTAAACTATGTAGGCCAATATTTCTGGTTCCAGTTGAACTAGTTTGAGCCTTTCAGATGAAATTTTCAATTAGTTTTCCTCGATAAAAGAAGTGAACGTCCATCGGCAAATCGATTTAGGCGTACCTATAGTTATTAACATATAAGTAGTAATGTTTTATTGAAATCGTATTATAGGTAATAACTGCACAGGTTAGGTTGTGAGCACATAATTACTAATCGTGGAATCATAAGGGCAAATAGGTACCCATATATAATGTATTCTTTGATTTTTTTAAATGATTTTATTATTGGTATCCCGATTTTAAAATCAAATTTAAGATGTTTCTGTAAATAGCGTGAAGAAAAGAGAAAATAGAAAAAAATATTCGTAGAAGTACCTACTAGGGTGATGGAGAATTATTTCTGTATGTTTTGTTTGCAGACAGTCATGTCGCCACTGCTGGATTCGCTGCTGCGGTGGCGGCGCGAGGCGCCCGCGCCCGCTGAGACGCTGGATGAAACAGCTACGCCCATGTCCAGTAAGAATATCAGTCAGAGAGTGCTAAATATAGACTACTTTTATACATTCTACTTGGAAAATATTGATTTAATCCTATAAGAAGGCATTTTACTCAGATAGACGACGGATTCAATTTCGAGTTTGTCACGAGTGTTTTAGAAATATATTTTTTGTGAGATTTCATTAAGTAGATTCATTAATCTACTGCCGCTCATTAGAGGTAATTAAAACGTTGATTTGTCAGTATTTTTTAATATCCAACGTAGTTAATTTAAAATATCAAGAGAAATTTGGTCCTTGTTTTTTAACGAATTGCCTAATGAGCAAATTATAAATTGAAAACTAAAAAATATAGGTAAGCGAACAGTACAATTTAATTGGACCTTTTTCATCATTGACATTGGTTGACTACCAATCAGCCACATCTGGTAATGATTGGGGGAACTACTGATGAGCATAGGCCATGTTCAGCATAGACCTCTTGCATAGAGTGGACGATTGGTATATAAAAGTCAAAAGAGAGATCCTTTTCCAACGAATTAAATCTTTGTGCAGCAACCACAGAACCTGGGACATTGCCACCGGTTACATCGACAATCCCACCAACTACCCAGGAGTCCATCGGAGAGAAGACGGCAGAAATCGCCCGTAAGATGAACATTGAGCCATGGCAACTTGTCGCTATACTTGTTGGTAAGTAGATTATTTGTTATAATAATCCAAAAAAGATCTTTCCTCAACTGATTTGGAGTCGACACTGAATAAATTTTATCCAGAACTGGTAGTTTCAGAAGTTTCAGAAGTATTACTTATTTTTACTCCATTAATGTACCGGAAGAAGTTCAGTAGTTTTCATTCGTTTTTGAATGGTATCTTTCTGTGTGTTCCCAAATGGTAAGAAAGTGGAAACTCCTTGCATGATCCAAGACAGACCAAGTACCTACCTTGTCATTTTGAATAATTTCAAATACTACTTCAAAGGAAACTTGGGTTGACTGAATTACTTTAAAACTTATCTACTGTAAAGATCATCAGAAAAATTGCATTTGTGAAAATGATTTGTTCAGGTATTTTGTAATTAGTTTCGTACGAGTCATAAATACCTAATTACCTATTATGATTTCTGAATATTTTTTTCTTTGTTAATCACCGTTTGGTTTAACTAGATATAGTGACAACGTTATTTGTTTACATAAATGGTATACTAATGTGAAAACCGTTTACCAAGTGTCTTTAGTCGTTAGGCTTAAAACTAATTTAGGCTAATGATTTTATGTAAACGACTAAGTCAAGTCAAAGTATCAGCCCACGTTCCACATACTACAAGAGTTGACAGTAATTTTGTAATATTAGCTACATACTTCTTGTGAATAATTAATACGGCGTAATATTTACTAACGTCGCTGGCAAATTTACATACGATATACCTCGTAACTCAAACAGAATCGTGTCTTTTAGTACATATATATGGATATAGGTGCCAATAAATTATCACATAACGTGCTGAGGCTGACACGTGTTCCTTTGCGGTAAAATTCGGTATGTTCAGTAGGGTAAAAACGAAATACGTCTTCTTGATATTTTCATGCGCAACATTTTTATAAATATTTACACTTATTTATAATCAGACATTTTTTTATTGGATTCTAACTGGAAAGGTCACTGAGCAATTAAATCCCTTTGTGCCGTCCTTATTAACTCCGTTGCAGTCGTCCTTCATATTGAACTTTTGTGAAGGTGTGGGCGTAGTGGTGCTCGGGATATGTTTCTGCTGCATCAGGAGGTGTTTCCGCAAGCGACGCTCCAAGGATGGCAAAAAGGGAATGAAAGGTGTCGACCTAAAATCCGTCCAGCTGCTCGGTTCCGCTTACAAGGAAAAGGTAATGTTTTGGTACTTACAAATATATTAAGATCCTCCAATTTGTCGAAAGACATGAAAAAAAATACTTACTTCAAGAAATTTTAGACCCCTTTACCTACAACATTATATGCTACCTACAGATTCTTTTGACTGAACTTCATGTAAACATAGGTACTCAAAAATCATTAACTCGCCAACTTTATTAGTATTTCAATCTGTCAAGAGGGTTTGTATGTTTTCATCAATTGAAATCATTTTAAAGGAAATCACAATTTAATCCATAGAAACTATTTTTAAGAAATTCGATATTCATATGAAATTTGCCGCGGGACGTGCATGTAGGTTCAGCCTGATATGGAGGAGCTCACGGAGAATGCCGAGGAACCTGACGACGGCGACTCCAAGAAAGAGGAACAGAAGCTAGGAAAACTCCAATACAAGGTATGTTTTGTACGAGTCTCTACATGGCACAGAAAGACACCAAGGAAGTTCTAATACAACCTGGTTTGTGAACACCAACAAATGAAATATCCATTTCTAACATCACTGAAGCTCCATCTAGAGCGTAGTAGTTAAACCACATCTAATGTGTTTTCCTTTTTTTTTAACCTGTTATTCGTTTGTTACATAAATTAATGCCCGAATACTGAAACGTTACTCAATTTTCAGTCGCGCTTAAGTATAGTTCTGTCACTGCAAATTCTTAGTAAAATGACAGAGATGGCACGATATTTAAGCACGACTTAAAATTGAGTAACGTTTCAGTATTCCGGCATAAGTCATTTATTCAACTCGTTAATTCATTTTATGGCTTCGTTATCACTGTTGCGGAGCATCTTGGTGTGCCGTTTATGGCCAATTAACAAGCATTGATTGCATCATTAAGTCTTTTCTACATGGAGATTTCAATAGCAACATTCACTACTATCACGGTGCTACAACGTTAGCGGCTACTTCATATAGTTTTTGTTTGCAGCTGGAGTATGATTTTAACAGCAACAGTTTGTCTGTGACTGTAATTCAAGCTGAAGATCTGCCAGCTCTGGACATGGGAGGCACGTCCGACCCCTACGTTAAAGTTTATTTACTTCCCGACAAGAAGAAGAAGTTCGAAACAAAAGTTCATCGAAAGACTTTAAGCCCCGTTTTCAACGAAACATTTGTGTTCAAGGTAAGTTTAGATGACTCGTAGAATTAATTTACATAGTATTTACAGACACATTGATGCTTATTCTCATATTATTCATACAGAACGTGCCCTATGCTGACGCTATGAATAAAACTCTCGTGTTTGCAATCTTCGACTTCGATCGATTCTCAAAACACGACCAGATCGGTGAGGTGAAGGTGCCGCTGTGCCAGGTAGACTTGGCACAAACTATCGAGGAGTGGCGCGAGCTGCAGAGTGTTGAAGGAGAAGGGGGGCAGGTGCGGACACACACACACAAAAAATATCTCAAGTATTATCGTCCTCCTTGAAACATCCAAGTACCTTGTACAAATGTAAATGAGTCTTTAAATTAAGACGTGTCGGTCAGAAGGCACAGAAGCTATCGACCACACTTTGCTTCTCCTCCAATAGCCAATACTTCATAGCTACAATTTTCATCTTTATAAAATGAAAATCAAAGTGCCTGTACCAATAACTTTCTACGCATTGTAAAATAATTTCTACAAGGCTTTACTTTTCAGCAATTTCATATTTAAATTGGAATGAATTTATATTTTGAATAGCAATATAATATGATTACATGTAAAATGATTGGCGCTCGTAGTCCAATTTCATACAAATTAAAGGTGAATTCATTTTCAAAAATAAATAGAGCTTTGCACGTTGGGCCATAATAATAAATCACCAGTAGTATTCGTTTCAATGCAATGAACTGATATTTTTAGAAGATATTGTCTTAGGCAGATGTTGCAACAAATCACAAAAATTGGTCAATTGACAACTTTACAACTACACCCAGGTCACATCAACATCATTCTGATAACCGAATAACTACCAACTAGGAACATTATATACCTACGAACAAATGCACATGTAGAAATAAGTCAGCAACACCAACGAAAACGTATCTGAAAAGATACCAGCCAAGGAGACTACTTTATATTTTTTTCTTAGCTTAGGCTAGACTGGCAAAACACACATAACAACTTACATAAGTTACTCTTACCTACAACAACAACAGTATTATTTACTTGTTAGATTTGTGTTTTGGCAGAACAGCATTTTAAATTAACATTTCGCCGTTCTTTCAATCAATGCATCCAAAGCAAACAAACTATCATTAATTTATTCTCATTCATTTATAAATATGCAGTCAAGTTTTTCATGAGTATTTTTTGATCTTTGTAGATTTTATTAATGCAAGCATTCATTGGAAGAATGGCCTACATTTTTACAATTTTACTGCACTTTTTGAATGAGAGGAACCTTGACGATATTAACACAATCAATTTGTTAATTTCATGAAAGTGTTAAGGAGGAATTCTCGGCAGTCAAGGCACCTCAACATGGATTGAGTCGTCATTTATTTTTCTGATAAAATTAATTTCGACAGCAAAAATGTATTTACTTGGTTTTTCTCTTTTTCTCCATATTTTCTCTGCTCTGCTTGGCTGTGTTTGATTGTGTCCTGAACAATCTTGCATGCCGCTTCAAAAACGAAATGATCATTCACGTAAGTATTATTTTGAGACACATCAAGATTATCTACTGGTAAATTATACATGAATTTTACTCGAAATGGCGTGCTGGTATATGAAACCGACAAATGGCTAAAGGTTTAACCAAATCATGAACAAGGTTTGATACAATGATTTGTAAAAAGGATTGGGCCAAGTATCAGAACCATTACGTTGTTTGTTCTAGGAAGTTAGGAAGCATTGTTAGACCTTAATATTTGATCCTCATCTCAAATTCTGAAAATTATTCACCCAACCTTGATCACCCGTCATACCGCATTATTATTTTATTATTTTTTCGTTATTACGTCTTATTATTTATATCCATCCGACACTTTGATTTTATTTTATATTGCGGCTGGGGAATGTTGCATGTTCGTCATCTTATTGTGCTCGTACTTTGTCTGACTTGCCATTTGTGTTCTGTCCACTGTGCATACCTTGTGCCTTATTCACGTGAAAGCGAACGAAATGACAAATCAGAAATACTTAAGTGTGGTACACGTTTAATTGGCTATGTATTGGTGTTATTCACACGTAATCCAATATAAGTACATTGGTTCCTTTACCTACAAAATTTCTAAATTACAAAATAACTCATAAAATGTCGCACAAATATTTCCCTACGTGTGTAATTTTGTGTTTCGCATGTAATTACATCTCGTGTTCGACTCATATGACAGTATCATGAAATATTATATAATTAATGATTAATGAAGCATTTGTCCAAGTATGTTGCAGGTCACCTTCTGACCGACGAAAGAAGAACAAATCCTAGTAATATCCTTCTGAACCAATATGTACTTATTGCATGTTTGTGGTATTGGTGTAGATAACATAGGAAAAGCACAGTGTGAAGGTAGTAAGTAGTATTATACCTACTAAACAAATTCATATTAATGTTCACGAAAAATACCAACACAATGTGTTTGACCTAAAACTATGTTCTTTAGAAGCTATATGCCAGAAATTTCTTCCTTTAGTGACACTACCTTAACTGAATCTTTCTTCAAGAACATATTTTAGCTACACCTTTATCAATAACTCACACAGCGCAGCTTATGACTAACACCAGCATCACACTAGTGCGTTACTGGAATATCTGTTTAATGTTAGTGTGCTGTATCTGATAGTACCTATTGATGTATGTATATGTAGTAATATTACAAGCGACCTATTGAAGAAATCCATAATAAAGAAACATGATGACATGTTTCATGTAGATTACTAACCGAGTTATTTTTAACAACAATCAATAAGTAGCTGTTATCATTGCAGAAAAGGCACTCACAAGTCTTCTGTTTGAACTATTTCAAAAGAATTGTATATTTGCTATCGACTTCATTATTACACATTGTGAATACAAGGTTAATACCCTAAAGATATCATTTAAGATGATATACTAAGTTACAATTTCTTGCAGATCAAGAGATCTAATAATTTCTTCAATGGTTCGCTATTGTTCGTTGTATGTGTGTATTGTACCTATATGTGTTAGCTAATTGCGATCTGTTCCTAAAATGGTTAGTCTTTCTTACAGATTAGGCACATCGTTGAAGGTAACCGAGTTTAGTGATAGGCAAACCGAAAGTAGGAATCCATAGTTGCAAGAGTTTAGGAAACGTGAGCTAGATATATAAATCATAGTTTCATTCTGATGATCTGAGCTGGGTGTCACAAAAATATATAAATTGGCTTCATTTCGGCAACAGATCGTAATGTACTCTCCTCATCTTCTAGCCTACTACCTACCAATATAAATTTATATATTTCAGCGGATAACTGCTTCATATTAGGTTTGATATGAACGTTGATGTATATATTTTTTTTGTTCGTCTAGAGTTATGTTCCAAAAAGTTATATGTATCGTGTTTAATTTATATTATTAGATAAAGTGAAATCTATGTGCTAAAACGTTATATGTAACGCAATGAAAGTGTTCGTCAAATGTGCGTATGATTTTAGCTGCAAAATCCATTTTGTTCGAGGCTATTAATCTCAATTGTTTACGGGCTATGCGTCCTAAGCACGTGGCTCGGCGCAGTATTTCAGTTATCTTGTTATAGAAACATTCACATGAATATTCATAAAGAGTAAATGTTGAAATCCGTGAACTGAAGCCCTGTGCCGATATACCAAAAACCATAAATACGCTTCTAGGTGACTACACGAAGCTATTGTTATGTTTATTTGTTTTTTATTTCGTGTAACGAGATTTTGAGTGCCCTGGTCCGCCCTAAGCCGCGTTATTTATGGCCCATATTATTTGTATTTTTTATAAATAGCTTTTCTAACCCGTTCTCAGAACGCTATATTCCTTACACAACTTTTCCTCTATTATCTTCCATACAACTCACATCCAAATAAACTATTTGTTCAACTCTGTTTATTGACAATGGTAAAAAACACATTTACAGCGACAAACATCGAATGTAATACCATTTATTACGTCAGAGATAAAATAATATTTTTTGTACAAATAAAGGATTCCATCGGCAAGCAAGCCTATCAGTTAATTCACTAAGCTCAAACGAATAACACAAGTTGTTCATTCGTAAGGCACTACCATGGGATAGGTCACAGTTTCCTTCTGTTTACCGTACAAATAGTCATATTTACTGTTGCATATTACAGGACAACAAGTTGGGAGACATTTGTTTCTCATTGCGTTATGTACCAACGGCCGGAAAACTGACAGTTGTTATTTTGGAAGCTAAGAACTTGAAGAAAATGGATGTCGGCGGTCTATCAGGTAATATTATGACATCATTGTCACTTTTACATTTGTTTATCATGTAAAAAGAAACACTGATAACACCTATGTCTAATTTCACAGGGATTTTAGGGTAAACATTTTAAAATGTTCCTACATTTTTACTATTGATTGTAACCGCATAGTAATTAATGTACATACAGTCTAGGTAGTATCATTCAAACAATTAAAGCGATATTTGCATTGCATGTCCATAACACTTTGTACCTCCCACGAATACCATTTCATGTAGGTATCTAAGTAACATTTTTAGCTAATTACATGATACAATTCAATTCATAGCAATACTCATAATATCTATTTCCCTCACGTATTGATATACCTTTAGTTTTATGCATTTATATTCATAACATGAGTGAGCCACATACTATAACTATTTTACAAAAGCACCTAAAATAAACACTGTGCATTTACTTTTACTTTGAAACTAGATTCGCTTTTACATATTCAATCAGCAGCCTTTTACTTATAACCATTTAGCAAAATACCTACAATAACTTAATGATTAATCATTAGAACAACCTAAATGAAAACTGTTAACTAATCGATGTCAACTTATCTGTTCCATATCGCGTCTCCTGGTGCTGCGCCGACACACAGATCCGTACGTAAAGATAGCACTCATGCAAAATGGCAAACGTCTCAAGAAGAAGAAAACGAGCATCAAGAAATGCACACTGAATCCCTATTACAACGAGTCATTTACTTTTGAAGTACCATTCGAACAGATACAGGTGCGAGCCGAGATTCATGCAAAATTCGATGTCGCAGCGCATAGTCTGGACAAAACAATTAATGAAAAATACATACAGCACGATCGTTCCGTCATTATTTTAAAACCTCACTATTCAGAGTGTATGAAGCATTATGTATTTCTCATTAAAATTGTCTTAACTGTGCACGATTTGATGTTGTGGACTAATTGTTGTGAATATATGAATTATGTACACCACTTGCATCCATACCCGTTCCTTTCCTATACATAACATATTTGTTTTGTATCATTTTTGTGTTTGTTATATTATTTGAGAAGCCATGTCTTCTATTTTCTCTTGCATAACACAAATGTTTATGATATTGTTTGCAAAAAAAACAACGAGATTATACTTCGTAAATATTTGTTGTTAGTCTAACGTTAAATGTTTGTAGTGTCCTAAGTTGTTTATTGTTTGGTATGTTTATTTTGTGTTTATGTAGTCGTTGTCTAGTTAGATCATGTGTAGTACCCCCTAGTATAGTTCTGCTATTTCATTTGTCATTCTATCATCTGTTTCTGTTCCCTTTGTGTCCGCCCCCGTCTTTTCCTTCTTATATTGCTCAAAGTCAATTATATTATACTTCTGTTATAATTTAAAATGTTGACCTTCATTTGTAACTCGGCGTACGTGTTTCGACTGAAGGTTTTCATTTTTAGTGGCAATATAATTTAGTTGGCTTTAATTAATATTGTCCGTCCTTCGAAACTGAGTGGTGTTAGCAATCTCCCCTCGTGACTGCATTGCAATTTGGTTACTTCAAACTGTAATTACTTATGGTTTAAGGAATCCAGTTCCTCGTTCTTCTTCTGCATTATTTAAATCTTCTTTTCATATTTTCGCATACCTTTTCTATCTTTGAATGCTTTGTCCCTCTGTTGCGTTACTTTATTTATTGTGAGGTATGTATCGACCCAATAGCAGCTCTTATATTACGCTATGGTATAAGGTTTGCTAAAGTAGTACTGTCGCCTTAACTGTGCTTTCTATCGTCGTATCTATGCTCGCATTGTATCACATAATAACTCGTACAACACAAAATATAAACTTCATTTCATTCATTAAAATCGGTATTAGCTAAAAAATTACCTATTGCGTAATTAAAAAGTAATTCACTTGCCTTTTTGTTAACCTGTCTGCATGATATGCAGGATGACAGAAACGCATTATGAATACTTCTTTGATTCATTCTTAGTCAACATATCATTTATAGAGTATTTAAAAGTAGATCCATACTTGTACATATAAAAGAGCAATATAATGAATAAAATATTTTTAGTAAAGGACCAATTAATAAATTATGGGCTTGTCCTTTACCCATTGCCTTTTATACTGATTCTTGAAAAAAATCAGATAGACAGTCATTGCAGAAATATTTCATTTAATAAATAGTCGATAATACGAATATCTAACACTAGTTCACACACAACACCACAACACACGACCTCATTCCATTTGAAGATAATTTTACCTCACGAGAGCTTATAAAAATCCATACCTAAATATTTTAAAATCTTTCACATATAGATTCTATGAATTATTTCACTATTCAACAAACTTTGTATATTTCCTCGTGTTTTAATCCGATATTACTTTGATATAATAATACATTAAAACATCTGGAAATGTATGAAATAAATTGAACCGAAATAATTCGACGACCTTATTTCATGTAGTGTGCTAAATATTTTTAGAATAATTATCATTTAGCGTCCGGTTCCTATATCTAAAACGAATTGTTTTATTTGTATTTGAATGTACCTACTTAGTTGGCATTAAAAGAATCATAATGATTGCAAACTAAACTTGAAACACACATTTTCTGGCACCCAAGTAAAGAAATGTATCTGCTCCATTACCTATAACAGCCATTTTTACACATGACAAAATTATAAAAAGCGTTCTGAAAGTGAAGAATAAGACGTGCTAATTCTATTCAAGCCATGAAAGTCAAGACATTTTATTTAAATTAAACAAAATACATACATAATTAATTTTCTTTCCACACAAATTGATTAAGAAGATATGTAAATTATGAAAAGTGCTACTTTCTCTTGTTTTTATTTCCAAAGAAGGAACTTTGTTCGGAATAGCCCGATTTAAAATACTACATTTAATCTAAATTTAAATTCGTTAAAGATATCCTGGAATCGGAAATCAAGACTTACACAACAAAGATATGCAGTTTTTCTCAGCTCTCGTAGTTATGAAACGCTTCCAATGGTATGTCATTAATCTGAATCGCACTGCAGAAAGTAAACCTAGTGATCACCGTGGTGGACTACGATCGCATCGGTACGTCGGAGCCTATCGGCAAGGTAGTGCTGGGATACAACGCGTCAGGCACCGAGCTTCGCCACTGGTCCGATATGCTGGCTAGCCCGCGGCGCCCCATTGCGCAGTGGCATACACTCAAAGACCCCGATGATGGAGAGAAGAAGGATTAAACATTGAACTGAGGTAAATAATATGAATTTACTCTAAAGTACAAAAAGATCTCTAATGAAATTTTTCATAAAATCTATTTTTTTCTGTGAAATAGTGAAAGCCAAAGTAAAACAAAACATTAACAGATATTAGTTTTTTAAAAATATGATGACTTAATTTTGTTTGTATTTTCAGTATGAAAAGCAGAAACCTACAAACATGGAAGTACGAGTGTGAAGAATAAGCGACTTATTATATTTGTTTATACTTACGTTAAGAATAATATTTGGTATTATTTATATTACCTACATTCAAATAATTCTGCGGTAACATATGTGCCCAACTCCTAAACGTTATCATTAGCGCTTCATCAATGTGATTTGGATGTTGTCTTTAATCGTTTCCAATATTATAATCGAATAATTAATATTGCTGTTAAAATATCTAATTGTAAAAAGATAATAATGTTCTTTACCCCTTTATTAATTTCAATGTTGCTTACCAGCTGTATGCTAGTAGCATGAGTTACTTCGATAAGTTTGCATCTGTGCAGTTCAAAGGCGATTGGTTTTGAATTGGCGCACGGGTAAAGTAGCTAGACGCAACAGTTGATTTAGTTAGAATCTTGATTGCATTAGCAACTGCATCGACGCAAAATTTATCGTTTGATTAAGAGTCTTGTTCTCTCATCTCGTCTCGACTAACTAATACTCGTATCTTGCTAAATTGTAAGAATGTTGATTTAGCAATATGTAAGTTGTTGTGAGGAGTGTAGGGATAATAATTGTTAGAATTCCTTTGCTACTTCCACGTCCTTAGCGTCTTATAAAGTTGGTTTTGAAATCGCGCTAACAAATAGGTAACCAGCTTTGTTCAATAAGTGTGCTTTGTTATCAAAAGCCGTTACCTTATCCTACGTGTAATCGAAAATATATTTTATTTAAAAACCTATTACATAAAGCTGTGTAAATAAGTTGTATCCTGTTAAATTTATTACATTCTATTTTACTATCGTATAAGTGTTATAGTATTGATACCCTTTTATTATAATAAAACACAATGTTCCTCGGGGGAAGAGAATGGACCGACGGAGATCATTTGCGTTTACATTATTTAGTTTGTTATTAGACAAGATCATTATCATGTGCTGTCGGTAAACTGTTATTCTCTTCTCGTGAGGAACAATAGGCCTATTGTATAGGTACCTAAACATTATTATTTTAAGGCATGACATTATTTATTAATTAATTAAAGTCTTTGATGTCCAGTGTCCATTGATTAATCTGTATGATTTCGTTAGTCGAAAGTTTTATTCACTTATACAAAATACTTCTATAATTTAGGTTAGGTAGATTAATTTATTATTATTTAATAGTTATGGAAGTGGACACTCAATATACGTGGTATCATCGAAACTAGTCAAACGTATAAGACTATCTACAAATAAAAATACTTATACTTTAAAATTATATTGTTAAATAGTTCCAATCGTTTAAATGGTTCTTTACGGTGTAATATTTAATCGTGATTAGACTGCTGTACGTCGCGTCGCGTCGGTAAGTGGTTCGTCTAGAATTGTCGCAAGTTATATCCATAACATTACTATCTATCGGTTCGAGGTACCAACATTTTAATGTTAGGTAGGTATTTAATAGTCGTATAACATCTCCTAACTTTGCGGTTCAAGTACCTATTTATACCTACGTACTTAGCTAAAGCTTGACTGTTGTTGATCTCAAACATATGTGTTATTGTGTATATAATGTAATCACATGTTAAACTCCACAATCACATTATACTATATACTTATGTCTATGTACCTATAGGGGTAATGGAGTCGGGCTTCAAGTAAATTTAGAAGTGCACCAACACGAAACAAGTAGGAATAGACTTGTGGTTCAAGTATTGTACTTAACAATAACTATACTTACTATGTTAATATATTATATAGAACTTATTCATAACAACGCAACAGATTCATTGGCAGTTTTGTTAACCCACACTGAGAAAATGGGAAATAAGAATATTTAATTTTTTTCTTCTGATGATTAAATAAATTATTTTAAGTTAAATCTCAATCGAGAAAGAATTTAAATATTTGAAATGGCTGAGTGAATCTGTTGCAACTCCACTCAACTACTTTATAATCCTGACCGCACTGAACAAGCGGTTGAGCCTCGGTAGAATTGACAATATAGATATTTCAAATGCTATTTAATATTAACATTTTGTAATATTAAGAACAAATGCCAGAATACATGTGAATAATCGCTAGATTTATAATATTAAGAGAACAATCAGAACATGGAGATGTTTCATACACTCTCAAGCTGGTGTAGCCAACAAATTCCCTCACTATATCATAGTCAGTTATCAATATTTATTGATATCACCAAGGACATACTTCCACTAATTCAAATAAAACAATGAAATTACTTAACATTGACGAGGGATAGCTCTTTGACTATCTTTGTTGAAATGTCCAATAAAATATGAGTAAATGACCAATGTCATCAAAGAACAACGAAATGTCTTTACTCATGTCATCCACTAATTAAAATACCACAATGAAATCACTTAACATTGACGACAGCTAGCTCTTTGACTATCTTTGTTGAAATATTCTATAAAAAATATGAGTAAATGATCAATCTCATCAAAGAACAACTACATCGTTTATTCACGTCATGTGTGGAAAAAGAGAAATGTAAGGGAACCGTAGTGCTCACCAGGTAGTTTATATTTTCAATTCAATACCTGTATAGCAATTTGTATGAGTGAAATATATATTTTAATCACACTTCAAGTGTAAAATGTTATATCATTGGATAATTAGCTTGTATACAAAGTGGTGTTAATGTGTTGGGCTGTTGTAATCATTGCTGTTTGTTACAAACTCCTTTGCTAAATTTAGAATTGTAAAATGTAACCAATGTTAAATGAAATTTTCATTTGTAGTTCAGATATTCACAAATTTGCAGGGTTTATCTGTATAGCTACTCATTGCCCATCTATTGCACCAACTACCTATTTAACATATACTTGTAATTTTGTTGACACAAAATTGTTATCATAGATATAATGTATATACCTATCTCTGAAATGGATTGATAAAATAAATTATCATATCACTTGCCACTTTAAATAAAAAAAATCATTCTCATTATTATGTTAAAGATTTGTTAACATTTTGTTTAAAAGTATTAGATATTTTATTTTATTAATACACAATTTAATTTTTACTAGAGTTTATAATAGTAATGAATTATGTAAACTATAAAAATGTCTATAATACATAATTACATAGATCACTGGCTTTCTTTTGCACCCCTATCTGCGTTAAATAACAACATACAAACTATTAATTTAAGGCATTTATTTCATTTAAATAACTAATACATAACAGGTAATATTATTTACATTTTGTTACTTATATAAAACATGTTTAGGTATGTTTATATCAAATCAATTTCATAAAAATCAATTTTAATCTTATATACAAACATAACAACTCACCACCTCAGTTTTCATCATAGTACCGTTTCTTCATAGCCCTATACTTCTTTAGTTTGTAAAGTGCTTCAATTTCTTTAACAACAAACTCTCCATGTTTTACCATAATCCTTATTTTTTCTGGATTTTCTTCTCTACTATTCTTAGTAAAAACTTTGTGAAGTCTTTTACGGAATAGGTCGTAACCTTGAGGCCAGTCGCGACCCAGATACAACAGCTACAACAAAAAAAACATATTTTAGCCATGTAGACAGGTGTCCAAATTATCATCAGTGATTATACAAAAAGTATTGTTCATAGTACAATACGCAAATCATAATATCAGTTGAGTATTCTAGATTAATCAGCAACACATTGGACACGTACCGTTTTATAAAGATTCAAAACTGCACTCCGATGTGGTTGAGACATTTTTATGAATTATTTTGTCAATTTTTTTAACTTAATTTATTCTAATCCAATAGAAAGTTCATAGTCCAAAGAAACTCAAAACGATAACAAACAGTACAAATACGACGAATTTGACGTTTCAATTTTAACATCCCAATCCCAACATACAATACCTTCAGAGACACTGACTGACTTAACTGAAGACAGCAGAATAGCATTATACTGATAACTGTATGTAAAAGAAGGACAACAAATATTGCCGCTCTGTCATTCTGTGACAGAACTATCAACTTGTCAGTTTTGACATTTATGTAGTTCCACCAACCTACCATTATGAAACAGTTGGCAGCATTGGCGATCGTTATGTAATACCGGAAATGCACTATCCAGTGCGAGCCTTAGCAACGACAGTGAACCGTTGGACCATGCGTCAAACTTTAAACCTTCTGGAATCAAGTTAACAAAACTAGCAGAAACTGATGAACATGAAACCACGTCTTTATTTATTTATTTATTTATTGCAAAATGTATATACATAGTGATATTATACTACTAGTACAGTACATCACCCTGTTAGGGCGCAGCAATTTAACTTATAAATAATAACTAAATAATCATCTAACATATTATGTACTTATTCTATTCATTATTAACTTAATTACTCACTATAAACTTATTACTATTAAAATTTATATTAGTTTATACATTATTTATAAAACATTTTAATTATAAACATTACAAATAATTCCCCAAAAAGGTACTTAACACTCCATACTTGTTATATTACCTAAATCTTTACGTTTATTCTCGGAAAAGATATTAATAAAATAGAGGTACCTATATCACTGCAATAATATTATTAGAAATGTCCATTCGCCACGTCAATCTGTTTGTCTCTCTCTCCGTGTTAAAATCCAAGGTTATTCATGAGTTAATAAGTACCTAACAAATTTTCATACAAAACATTAGGTACCGAAAAGATTTAGTATAGGTGCGTAGGGAAAAGTCCTATCTAATAAGCATTATACCTTATTGAATAAGTAAAAAATCAGAAAAAATCAAACGTATCAGGAGCTATTAGCAAAAATTTTACCTCTAATCAATTATAATTTACTCTTACGATCACTCGACTAATAATAGGTATTTTTTTACGGAGGGAAAATCATCGAATGACTGCTCTCGCCTGGGTGAGGCGGGAAGGAGTGGCAGGCTCTTACTGACTAAAAACCACCCCGTTCCTAATCCTGCACTTCAAGCCGCAGCCTAGGTAACCCGTTAGGTTCTCCGCGACTCGGTATCGGCATTAGCCCTATTGGGCCCCATCCGTGGTAGTCTAATGGCTCTTTGAGGCGCGCGCGGAACGCGATGCGCCGTACGCTCGGGTCTGGTTTCAGGTCGGGCGGCGAGCCACCCATGCTCGCCATCCACAGGCCCGCGCTTACGGTGGCCGGAGATTGTCTCGCGATCCCGGATGCCCGGAGTGTCCTTCGCGACGCGACGGCTGGGTTGTGAAGAGGCAGCACTTCGCTGCCTCAAGCGTCCCGCCTCCTCCTTAGCTAGCATGACTGCTTCGCAAAAGGAGGAGACGGCATCCCAGGACATGGGAGCTTCGGGAGGTACCTGTGTCACTGCGAGGACCACCCAGAGGACACGGTGGAGCATACAGTGGCGGTGTGCCCTGCTTAGGGTGGGCACCGCCGTGTTATCAGAGATGAGTTCGGCAACGGCAGCCTCTCGCGTCCGGCTCTGGTTCAGGCCATGGTGCGGAGTGAGGGCGACTGGGATACCGTCTCCTCCTTCTGCGAAGCAGTCATGCTAGCCAAAGAGGAGGCGGAGCGCATGAGGGAACAAACCTCCTCGCACCCCAGCCATCGCGAGAGACACTCCGGGCGTCGAAGACCGCGTGACGATCTCCGGCCACCGTAGATGCCGCGTAGGGCGGAGCCGCGGAAGGCCTAACGGGTTGCCGGGGCTCGGGCTCGAAGAGCAGGAGTAGGAACGGGGTGGATTTTAGTCAGCAAGAGTCTGACACACCGTCTCGCCAACCCAAGGCGGGAGAAGTCATTGGATGACCCCCCCCCCCCCACTAAAAAGGCGTAATTTAATATACCGAAGTAGGTAGCTACTAAGACCGTGGTCTTGACATTTTTATCCTGTTCGCGTCGAATCTTACGCAAATTTAACTGAATTGTCTCCCGTTCACTTCAGTCCACCCACTTTACCGTACCAACCCAGTTAAACATAACATCTAGCATGCTGTTTTTCAAAAAAGCTTGCCTCAATTCTACTAAATGTAAAATTTCCTTTTCATCAGCAGTCTAAATAGTTGAGCGCTTGACCAATAGCCAACTTAAGATGCAGTTTAGGTACTAGAAGTCATTGCAGTGCGTAACTTTGAGTCAGGACAGCGCCCAAAATAGAACAAAAAATCAGGACGAACAACAAACAACTGAAACAAAGTTAATTATATAGTTATGTATAAGGTAGATAGAAAACCGTTGAACACAAATCATCCGCTAATTACTGCGCCGAAACGCCGATCACCGGTGACGGTGACCGGAACGGTCTGTAGGTTATACAATTTTAATTAAGTACTTGTGAGATAATATGATGACAACCTAAATATTCAAATTATATTTCATGCATACCCATACATTTAAACTAGGTTTTGTACTTGTTACCAATTCATACGTTAGCACTGTTATATAATAAGTGAAGCCCTTTAGGGCTTCTGTTTTTATTAGTCCCTAGATCGAAAAACCCTAAAGTTGATCCTATACCGGGACGTTGGGCGCTGCTGTGCCATATTTTTGTTCGGTTGGCCATTCAACACATCCTTGTCCGGTGCTTTGTCCTGTTCTGAAATCAATAAATCATAAAACGCCCTTTTGATTTATGGCTGCTGCGAGTCGTGTAACGTCCAATCATTGCTCCGCGGATTTGGCAGGAACCGAGTATCTTCTTATCCCCAAATTATTAAATTGTTAAACTTCTCGATTAATTAACTTCGTGGAGGTAAGTATAACTGCTTTTTTATAGTTTTTAGATACAATTATGTAATATGATACAAAGAAGACGCTAGGTGTTCGCCATCTTTGCTGATTATAGAAATGTTTTAATTAATAAATTATATTATGTACATTGTGTGTAATAAATCAACTTCGTTTAAGTCAAATATAGGTACTTAGCGCCTATAAATTTTAGCTGAATAATCATTATATTCAAGAAAACCAATTTTTCTTCACCTCTGAACACTTCTACCTATATCATTATTATTTTTTACTGTAACAATTATTCACGTACCTAGGTACTTATCACAAAAATAATTTTATTAGTCGAGCATTAAACTCTGTTATTTTTTACTCTGGTATATAGGTACGTAGTGATTTTAATTCCAGATTAAAATTATTTGTCACATCGTATCATAAAATCCACAATATCTTAAGATATCCGAGGATTAAAGAATAGGACCAGTACCAGGGTCGCGTCGGGTTTAACTAAAGTCCTTTCCTTTGTGGGCGGTGCCGGCGTGCGACGGTGCGACGCGGTCAGGCTGGCACAGCGCGCTGCGCAGCGTGACACGCGACGCGGCGACGCAAACTCTTTATACAACCGAACCGACTCGGTCATCACTCGGTCTACCAAGTCGGATCCATTTTATACATCGTGCCCTCACCAGCACGACACTTAAGTACCTACATCTCACTAGGTACCCATTATCTACACTGTACGACTGTACTGTACCCGTTCGATGCTGGGGCAGGACGTTACATAATACATAATATTATTATCAAATAGCTAATACCTATTTGTTACTAAAACAAGGCACTTCTGGACTTTTTGGTTTATAAATGAACATCTCGCTATTTCTCTCGACTGCACATAGGTACTTACTTCAAAGCTGATGATGTCATTAAATAAATAGGATAAAGGTCACCTCACACCTAACAAGCACAGCTCCGTAAATATGTACTTTAAAAATCGTATGCCGTAATTATTTTGCTAATTTTTTTTATATCGAAAAATAATAATTTATAATATTCAGCAACCTACCCTCAATATTGATATTTCTTTTAAACCATTTTTTATCAAATACATTTATTTCTCACATCTAGAATTACTAGAAAAGCTAATTGGCAAATTAATGTTCGAAAATACTACCTACTAAATAGAAAAAAACTAACAAAAATAATTAAACAAATACCTACATAGGTGCCTAAAATATATTAATTATTTATTTGACAATTATTACAACTTAATAGAACAACAATTATAAAGCAAAGCAAATGAACAAATTCTTATGGAATAATATACAAAATTACTTTCGAATAAATTAATAAATTATGTTCCAACGGTGCGCTGGAGTCCGGGTAATTCATATATCAAGCTTCATGTTCAAGTAAGGGTCCTTATGAGGTTTAGATGCTAAGAACAATTGTCTATGTACTACAGATATATTCTGATGTTGTATTGAATTGATTATTAAATTTGTATACATTTGAAAAAAAAAATATTTTATTTTTTGATAAAGGTGTGCTGTTGTCCGGGTAATCATAAATCAAGTGCATATTAAGTATGAGTCAGTTTTTACTGACTTTATATTTTATTAAGAACCTAATATTACCCCATTATATTCTGTTAGTCTGGAAAATGCTTACATATTATGTATTAGTAAAACAACATAGTGATCGGAATGAAGGTTGTAGATGCAGTGAAGTTTTCATCTCGGTGGGTACTGGAAATATTCAGTGTATTATACTGATTAATATTAAGAGCAGCAAAAGTATGTTGTAAGGATAGAATGTTTAATAATAAAATTTTGTTCTTATTTTAAGATTTAACCAAAAACAAAGTAGTGCACAATTAATTTTATGGAAGTTGGCAATCCTTACAAAATTTTTATTAATTCTACCTGTCTCGATGAATGTAACAAATCTTACAAGCTTAAACTAACTGCATCATGCATTAATTTGCTTCCATTTATTTTTTTTGTTTATTTATTTATTAACACTTTAATGCACACAAAATAAGGTACCTACATAAGGCGGACTTAATGCCATATAGCATTTTCTCACAGTCAATCTTTGGGTTAAATGTAAGGTCAGCGAAAATGGGCTTGTGTATTATGCAAAAAAAAAAACAAAATAAATAACTAATATTAATAATAAATACTTTATAACATACTGTATAAAAATATATAATAAACACAAAATATGTAAATAAATAACTTTATATATATAATTATAATATAATATAAATTGACGAGGACACGAACTCAGCGTTGTAGCGCCTTTAAATAGACCTCACGAACACCAAGTTTAAAAGCCATTTTGTTTGGAGCCATTTTTATAATATGGGGTAGTGCATTCCATAATTTAATTACACTAACTCTGAAGGAGTTAGAAACGAAGGAAGTGTGGTGGGACGGGATCTCTAGTAGCAAACTTTCAGCTGAACGGAGTTTTCGGCTTTGAGAGCTGCATTAAATCTGAAAGCCAGACTTTAGGTATTCGGGAGCACAAGGATCATTTAGAATAGAGAAGAGCATGCAGAGGGATCTAAGGGATCGCCTCTCACGGATAGGAAGCTTTCACGGATTTCAGCAAAATATACTTTGCATTTGCATATTGTGTCAACTGATCGATATAATTAGGACACAGACCTTATCTGATGTTGGAATCTGTTAGATAGTGGTTAGGTGGAACTCGGTAGTTAAATGACAAACCTCATCGAGTTAGGACCTGTTTGATACCTATTGATTATATATAGATTACGTATTGTAAAGTACTTTGGTACCTGATGGTAACCAGGGTCTGATGATGGAGCAGGAAGATGACCATAGGAATGCAGTACCTAGTTAAATGATATAGCCACATCCAGTTTGGGCTTGTTGGTTTCGTCTTGGCGAGGAAGGAACTACTTTAGTGCTAAATGGTAACCAAGGTCTGATGATGAAACTGGAAGATGGCCATAGGAACTCAGTAATTAGACGACATAGCCCCATCGAGTTTGGGCTTGTTTGATTCGCCTTGACGAATACTTCGGTGCTGGATAGTAATCAAGGTCTGATGATGGAGTCAGAATACGGCTCACAGGAACTCAGTAGGTATTCAGGTTTGGGCTTGTATACTTTGTCTTGACGAGTACTTTAGTGCTTGATGGTAACCAAGATCCTGATGATGGAGCAGGAAGATGGCCACAAGAACTCGGTAATTAAACTACATAGTCCCATCGAATTTTGGGCTTGTTTAATTTTACTTGACGAGTAGGTACTTTAGTGCTTGATGGCAACCAAGATCCTGATGATGGAGAATATGGCCATGGGAATTCAGAAAATAAACGACATAGCCTCATCGAGTTGGAGCTTTGTATACTTTGTCTTGACGAGTAATTTGGTGTTTGATGGTTACCAAGGTTTGATGATGAAGCTGGAAGATGGCCACAGGAACTCACTAATTAAAGGACATAGCCTCATCGCGTTTGGGCTTGATTGATTTGTCTTGACGAGTACTTTGGTTCTTGATTGTAACCATGATCCTTATGATGAAGCAGGATTATTGATAAATCTAGTGTGATGGCCACTTCGACGTATTTTGTATAAACGATATAAGTTACGTGAACGTGATAGAAAATCGTGAATAGCGAAATTATTCCTTTCTAAAAAGAATAAAACCTATCTAATTTCATCTAGCCATGACGTGCAATATTCAGTCAGAAATTCTCACAGTTTATTAAATTGTTTTGTTTGTAGATGCCTAAACCTGGAAAAAAGCGTGCTCAAAAGAAAGCTGGTAAGGGCACTGATAATGCTGGTCCATCTTCACCCAGACCTGAAGACCCGATATCTCCTACTTCTCCACAATCCCCCCAATCCCCACAATCTCCAACATCCCCAATAGCCTGTGGTCCTCGCACTGTCCAAGGTAGCAAATCAATCCCTAAACAATCCACTAGTAGAGCACAACCAGTCTCCTCTTCCCCACAATCCCCAATATCCCCAACATCCCCAGCGCCCGGTGGCTCTTACGCTGCACAAGAAAGCAAGGCAGCAGCAGCCAAACACACTGTTGAAATACAAAGACAATTGCAAAGAATGGATTTGGGTAAGTATTTGTAAAAATAACTGGAATAATTTTTCAATGTTTACATAGATTTTATCGTTACCTATGTATGACATTACTGCCTCAAGGCAACATTCTTGGGCTCACACTGCTTTTAGCCTATGTAAATATTTTATTTATGTATAAATCATACCAACAAAAAATAATTGCTTTGGCCGATGACACGGCATTACTTTTTTACGGGGACTAATGGAACGAAGTGTTCAAGTGCGCTCAGCACGGTTTTGATTTGGTTTACAATAGTAGGTAATATTCTGACACCAAATATAAACAAAACAAAATACATGATTTTTTTAATATTGTATTTACATACATTTATTAAATTTACTTAACAGACAAGACCATCCAGTTCAGCCTATTATCACACACAATTGTGACTCTACTTTTGGCAACATTTTAATTGCCCCACTTATTAAAAACGACAGATATAAAATATTTGGGAGTCATAATTGATGATGAACTATAATTTCACAAACATTGATGCTTTAACATCTTTTTTTTTTGAGGGGGGAAAATCATCCAATGTTTTCACCGCCTGGGTGAGAGGCGGGAGGGAGTGTCAGACTCTTATTGACTAAAAACCACCCCGTTCCTACTCCTGCACTTCGAGCCCGTTAAGTCTTCTGCGGCTCCGTATCGGCATCAGCCCTATTAGGCCCCATCTGTGGTGGTCTTTTTTTTTTTTTTTTTTTAAGGGGGGAAAATCATCGAATGACTGCTCCCGCCTGGGTGAGGCGGGAGGGAGTGTCAGACTCTTACTGACTAAAAACCACGCCGTTCCTTCTCCTGCACGTCGAGCCGGAGCCCCGGTTACCCGTTAGGTTCTCCGCGACTCCGAATCGGCATCGGCCCTATTGGGCCCCATCTGTGGTGGTCTGATGGCTCTTTGAGGCGCGCGCGGAACGCGACGCGCCGTACGCTCGG